TGCCATAATTACTAACTCTTGTACCTCTCTCCTTGCATTATGATTGGTTCATCTATATGTTTTAAATCTATATAAATAAAAATGTAATGTTCATTTGTGGGATTAACATTAACATAGTTTCCAGGGCAGCAGAAAACAAGTCTGCTCTTTCCTTATGACACCATTTCACATATTTATACATGGCTATCATGTCTCCTCTCAACCTTCTCTTCTACGGGCTAAATAAACCCAGCTCTTTATGACGCTTCTCATAGGGATTCATGGCCTCTAGATCTTTGATCATGTTAGACACCCTCCTCTGGACACCTTCCAGCTTATGAATATCTCCTTTGAACTGTGTTTCCCCAGAACTGGACACAGTATTCCAGATGAGGTCTAATCAAAGCAGAATGGAGAGGCACCATGACGTCCCTTGATCTAGACTCCTTTTGATGCAGTCCAAAATCCCATTGGCTTTTTAAAGCTGCTGCATCACACTCTTGGCTTTTGTTCAGTTTGCTGTTCATGAAGACTCCAGGATCTTTCTCATATAGACTGTTGTCGAGTCAGGCATCACCCATTCTGTATCTTTGCATTTAATTTTTTTCTGCCAAAGTGTAGTATCTAACATTCAAACAAAAAGACCATGCTGGCTGTACCTGGTATATAATGTGTGTGTATGCACCTTCTCGTCACTTGTTGACTTGTTGCAACGCCATGAATTTTACTGGCTTTTGAAAGGCAATGAACACTGAGTATGCATGCCCAGTGTGGAACACATCTCACCACGCTAAAACAGTGGATGTGGCTCTTAATTAGACATGCCGCATTATCACGGGGTGTCTGCGCCCTACACCACTGGAGAAATTACACTGCTTAGCCGGTATTGCACCACCTGACATCCGCCGGGAAGTAGCAGCCAATAGTGAAAGGACCAAGGCAGAGACATCTCCAGCTCATCCCCTGTTTGGGTATCAGCCAGCACATCAAGGACTTAAATCTAGAAATAGTTTTCTAAGATCTACAGAGACACTCGCTGGAACACCTCAGCAAACGAGAGTCCAAAAGTGGCAAGCTAAAAAGAAAGAAAGAAAGAAAGAAAGAAGCGAAGAGTCCAAAAGTGGCAGGCTCAAACCCAGAACCTCAACCAATGGCTGATACCAAATGAGAGACTCCCCCTGGGCACACAGAAACTGGGTGACTTGGAAGGCGCTGAACAGACTGCCCTCTGGCACCACAAGATGCAGAGCCAACCTAAAGAAATGGGGCTACAAGTGGAATCCACGACATGCGAGTGTGGAGAAGAGCAAACCACAGACCACCTGCTGCAATGTAACCTGAGCCCTGCTACATGCACAATGGAGGATCTTCTTGCGGCAACACCGGAAGCACTCCAAGTGGCCAGATACTGGTCAAAGGACATTTAACCAACTACCAAACTCACAAGTTTTGTATTTGTCTGTTTGTTTGCTTTGTTTTGTTAGAAATGTAATATAATGGATTGGTTGCTCTGAGACGACAAATAAATAAAATTCAGCACTTATTATTTGTACTAATCAAGGCTGACCTTGCTTTGTTTCCAAGATCAGGCAGGATCTGGTGCTTTGATATCAGGGGTCCTTAAACTCTAGAACAAGCTTCTAAAGTTTAAGGCTGTAACTTCTTATCTCTTTGTACTGCATTCCAGAAAATCCTCATGGCCAAGTTCCTAGGCACAGACAACAAAAGATTCATGGTGTGGTAAGGACCTTTGTGTTGTTGTTCCATAACCATTTCTCCAAAATATTTGGGGGGGGGGGGGGGGAATTGACATCTAAAAGGATGAAAAAAAGTTTATATTCTGAGCGCAATCTTTTCACTGCAGAAGCAGCTGAAGAGCTTCCTTCCCTCAGGCTTATTTATTTAATTCTATCCCGCTTAATCTTTCCATATGGAGACTCAAAGCAGCTTACAATAAAAAACATTACAACTTAAAATATTCAAATATCTATATAAATAAAAATGTAATGTTCGTTTCTGGGATTAACAGAACTCAAAAACCAGTGGCCAACTTGACACCAAATTTGGACAGGATACACCTAACAACCCAATGTATGTCATTCACTCAAAGGTTTTTGATTTTGTCATTTGGGAGTTGTAGTTCTTGGGATTTATAGTTCACCCACAATCAAAGAGCATTCAGAACCCCACCAACGATGGAATTGCACCAAACTTGGCACACAGTTCTCCCATGACCAACAGAAAATACTGGAAGGGATTGGTGGGCAGTGTCCTTTGGTTTTGGAGTTGTAGTTCACCTATATCCAGAGATCACTGTGGACTCAAATAATGATGGATCTGGGCCAAACTTGGCACAAATACTCAGTATGCCCAAATGTGAACACTGGTGGAGTTTGGGGAAAATAACCTTGACACTTGGGAGTTGTAGTTGCTGGGAATTATAGTTTACCTACAATCACAGAGCATTTTACATATATTATAATTACATCTATTAGAAACCAACACTTTCTCATTACTTTATTTTCCAGATCGCCAGACTGGGCCACAGCAACACGTGGCAGGGAACAGCTAGACTATATAAATAAAAATATAATATTTGTTTGTGGGATTAACATAACTCAAAAACAACTGGACGAATTGACACCAAATTTCGACACAATACACCTATCAGGCCAACGAGGGACCATCACTCATAAAAACACTGGAAAACATAGTGGAAGAGACGTAAAAAGTAATGCACGCGCAAAACCATATATATACACACGCAAACATACATATACACAGATTGGGCCACAACAATGCGTGGCAGGGGATGGCTAGTTAATCTATATAAATAAAAATGTAATGTTCGTTTGTGGGATTAACAGAACTCAAAAACCAATGGGCCAATTGACACCAAATTTGAACAGCATACACCTAACAACCCAATTTATGTCCTTCACTCAATTTTTTTTGATTTTGTCATTTGGGAGTTGTAGTTGCTGGGATTTATAGTTCACCTACAATCAAAGAACATTCAGAACTTCACCAATAATGGCATTGAAACAAACGTGGCATACAGGACTCCCGTGACCCACAGAAAATACTAGAACGGTTTGGTGGGCATTGACCTTGAGTTTGGGAGTTGTAGTTCACCTACATCCAGAGAGCATTCTAGACTCAAACAATGATGGATCTGGACCAAGCTTGGCACAAATACTCCATATGCCCAAATATGAATGGAGTTTGGGGGAAATAGACCTTGACATTTGAGAGTTGTAGTTACTGGGATTAATCGTTCACCTACAATCAAAGAGCATTCGGAACCCCACCAACGACAGCATTGGGGCACATTTCCCACACAGGACCCCCATGACCAACAGAAAATACTTAAGGCCATCCAGTCCAACTCTCTTCACCAGGGCAAGAAAATGTAATCAGAGCCCTCCTGACAAAGAGCCATCTAGCCCTAGATATAGATAGATATGATTCACACACACAAATACAGTATCATAGATGTGAAAGAGACCCTTAAAGAAGGACTATGATATGTTGCACGTTCCAGAGTAGGCAAACCAGACACTCTCCACATCAACACTGACAAAGAAACAATAAGAAATACTGTTTACTCACAAGCATAAAGGAATTACATCTATTAGAAATCAACACTTTCTCATTACTTTATTTTCCAGATCGCCAGACTGGGCCACAGCAACACGTGGCAGGGAACAGCTAGTCTATATAAATAAAAATGTAATGTTCGTTCATGGGATTAACATAACTAAAAAACCACTGGACGAATTGACACCAAATTTGGACACAATATACATATCAGGCCAACGAGGGACCATCACTCATAAAAACACTGGAAAACGCAGCAGAAGAGACTTAAAAAGTAAACCCCCCCCCCAAAATTACATTACAACGCATGCACAAAACCACATATATATAATATATATACATATACACAAACATATACATACAAAACACATATACACTGACTGGGCCGCAGCAAAGCGTGGCAGAGGACGGCTAGTATCTTTCATAAAAACCATATATATATCTATATATAGATATATATAGATATAGATATATATATACACACACACACATAGAATCATAGAGTTGGAAGAGACCTCATGGGCCATCCAGTCCAACCCCCTGCCAAGAAGCAGGAATATTGTATTCAAAGCACCCCTGATAGATGGCCATCCAGCCTCTGTTTAAAAGCTTCCAAAGAAGGAGCCTCCACCACACTCCAGGGCAGAGAGTTCCACTGCTGAACGGCTCTCACAGTCAGGAAGTTCTTCCTCATGTTCAGATGGAATCTCCTCTCTTGTAGTTTGAAGCCATTGTTCCATTGCGTCCTAGTCTCCAGGGAAGCAGAATACAAGCTTGCTCCCTCCTCCCTGTGGCTTCCTCTCACATATTTATACATGGCTATCATTTCTCCTCTCAGCCTTCTCTTCTTCAGGCTAAACATGCCCAGTTCCTTAAGCCTCTCCTCATAGGGCTTGTTCTCCAGACCCTTGATCATTTTAGTCGCTCTCCTCTGGACACCTTCCAGCTTATCAATATCTCTCTTGAACTGCTCTAGACCATGGCCATATAGCCCGAAAAAACCCACAACCCATAATATAGCAGTATTATTACATTATAGCGTTAAAACAAATAGTAAACAAATGCTGACTTGAAGAGCAATGCTTAGCAATCGACAATTCGGTGCTCTTCTAAACAACCTGGGGACGGGGGGGGGGGAGAATGGTAACTATGGCAACCTCTTCACGACTAGGATGGCAGAGGAGGAGGCGATGCCGAGCTACGACGCATGCGCCTGTCTCTGGAAAGGCGCTCATTGTAACACGCGCTACGCGCGCGTGCGCACAAACGGGGAGGGAGAGAGGGGGAGTTGTTAAGGCACTGCGCACGCGTGGTCAAGTGCAGAAACAAACCGTAGTGCGCATGCTCCGTCCAAAGCAGAGAAATAGAGACCTGCGGCAAAGGAAAATACTCTCTGTTTGTGTATAAAGGGGGGGGGGGGGGGGGGGGAGCGACTACGCATGCGCACGGGGAGTTGTCTCCCTGACAGGACAGGCCTCAGTTTGGTTTGTTTCCTTTTTTCTGGCCGTGTCTCCTCTATGGGAGGCGCGCCTCGCTCGTCACCTCAGCAGCCAACGGAAGGAGGAGAGGAGGAGGAGGGAGAGGAAGGCGAGGGCGGAGCGAGAGGAAGATGCCGGGGAAGCTGAAGGTCAAGATTGTGGCGGGGCGGAACCTGCCTGTCATGGACCGGGCCAGTGACCTGACGGACGCCTTCGTGGAGGTATAGAAGGGGAGGAGGAGGGAGGGGGAGGGAAGGAAAGGGGGTGGGCCTCACAGCAGGCCTGTCTGGCTGCGAAGGAGGGACACACTAATTCCCCAACAGCCGTCTTCTTGGGCCCTCCTTCCAAGTGTTTTGGACTCCAACTCCCACAATTCCTAACAGCCGGTAGGAGTCCAAAACACCTGGAGGGCCCAAGCTGGCCCATGCCAGCTTCATTCCCAAGCCATCATCTCAATTTTATTTTTATTCTGGTTTGAATATAGTGCAGAAGCAAGGCACAGCATCCATTCAACCCCAAATGGACCCCCATCATTACTGTCTCTCCTGCCCACCAGTTCCAGGTTGTGCCCCCTCCCTCAATTGAAAGGATGGGAGGGGGATACTGGTTAGACAGGTTGGAGTGCACCACAAGGTGGATATGAACTAACAGTGTGATGCAGCAGCTCAAAAGGCCGATGCGATTCTTGGCTGCAGCAATACGTTCCTGAAAATATAATGCAGATATATAGAATGAGTGACATCAGGCTTGGAAGTCCAGATGAAAGGAATCCCGGGATCATAGTGGACCACCAGCTGAGACAATAGTGTGATTCGGCAACACAAAAAGCCAATGCGGTTCTAGGCTCCAGTAATAAGATTCTGAAAATGCAATACAGAGATATAGGATGAGTGACACCAGGCTTGGAAGGCTATATTGAAGGGATCTATGGACCATAGTGGACCACCAGCTGAGGCAATAGTGTGATGCGGCAACTCAAAAAACCAATGCGATTCTGTTCTGTGTAGCAGTAAGATTCTAAAAATGTGATATAGAGATATAGGATGAGTGACACCAGTCTTGAAAGTCTATATGAAAGGGATCTATGTACCATAGTGGACCACCAGCTGAGACAATAGTGTGATGTGGCAACACAAAAGCCCATGCGATTCTGGGCTGCAGCAATAAGTTTCTGAAAATATAATGCAGATATATAGAATGAGTGCCATCAGGCTTGGAAGTCTTCATGAAAGGAATCTCGGGATCAGAGTTGACCCCCAGCTGGGACAATAGTGTGATTCGGCAACACAAAAAGCCAATGCGGTTCCGGGCTGCAGCAATAAGATTCTGAAAATGTAATACAGAGATATAGGATTGGAAGTCTATATGGAAGGGATCTAGGGATCATTGAGGCAACAGTCTCGTGCGACAGCTCAAAAAGCCAATGTGATTCTGGGCTGCAGCAATAAGATTCTGAAATTGTAATACAGAGATATAGGATGGGTGACACTAGGCTTGAAAGTCTATATGAAAGGGATCTAGGGACCATAGTGAACCACTAGCTGAGGCAATAGTGTGATGTGGCAACTCAAAAGGCCAATGCAATTCTGGGCTGCAGCAATAAGTTTCTGAAAATATAATACAGAGATATAGGATGGGTGACACCAGGCTTGAAAGTCTATGTGAAAGGGATCTAGGGATCATTGAGGCAATAGTGTGATGTGGCAGCACAAAAAGCCAATACGATTCTATGCAGCAGCAATAAGCTTCTGAAAATATAATACAGAGATACAGGATGGGTGACACCAGGCTTGGAAGTCTATATGGAAGACATCTAGGGATCATTGAGGCAACAGTCTCGTGCGGCAGCTCAAAAAGCCAATGCAATTCCAGGCTACAGCAATAAGTTTCTGAAAATGTAATACAGAGATGTAGGATGGGTGACATCAGGCTTGGAAGTCTATATGGAAGACATCTAGAGGTCATATCATTGAGGCAATAGTGTGATGTGGCAGCTCAAAAAGCCAGTGTGATTCTAGGCTGCAGCAATAAGTTTCTGAAAACATAGTGCAGATATATAGGATGAGTGACATCAGACTTGGAAGTCTATATGAAAGGAATCTCGGGATCATAGTTGACCCCCAGCTGAGACAATAGTGTGATGCAGCAGCTCAAAAAGACAATGCGATTCTAGACTGCAGCAATAAGTTTCTGAAAATATAATACAGAGATATAGGATGAATGACATCAGGCTTGGAAGTCTATATGGAAGACATCTAGGGGTCATATCATTGAGGCAATAGTGTGATGTGGCAGCTCAAAAAGCCAGTGTGATTCTAGGCTGCAGCAATAAGTTTCTGAAAACATAGTGCAGATATATAGGATGAGTGACACCAGGCTTGGAAGTCTATATAGAAGACATCTAGGGATCATTGAGGCAATAGTCTTGTGCGGCAGTTCAAAAAGCCAATGCGATTCTGGGCTGCAGCAATAAGATTCTGAAAATGTAATACAGAGATATAGGATGGGCGACACCAAGCCATTGTATCTAAAAAAGATGGGTGACACTAGGTTTGAAAGTGTATATGAAAGGAATCTGGGGATCATTGAGGCAACAGTCTCATGCGGCAGCTCAAAAAGCCAATACGATTCTGGGCTGCAGCAGTAAGATTCTGAAAATGTAACACAGAGATATAGGAGGAGTGACACCAGCATTGGCAGTCTATATGGAAGGGATCTAGGGATCATTGAGGCAACAGTCTCGTGTGGCAGCTCAAAAAGCCAATGCAATTCTGGGCTGCAGCAATAAGATTCTGAAATTGTAATATAGAGACATAAGATGGGTGACACTAGTCTTGAAAATCTATATGAAAGGGATCTAGGGATCATAGTGGACCATTAGCTGAGGCAAAAGTGTGATGTGGCAGCTAAAAAAGCCAATGCGATTCTGGGTTGCAGCAATAATATTCTGAAAATGTACTATAGACATATAGGATGGGTGACACCAGGCTTGAAAGTCTATATGAAAGGGATCTAGGGGTCATATCATTGAGGCAATAGTGTGATGTGGCAGCTCAAAAAGCCAATGCGATTCTAGGCTGCAGCAATAAGTTTCTGAAAATATAATGCAGATATATAGAATGAGTGACATCAGACTTGGAAGTCTATATGAAAGGAATCTCGGGATCATAGTTGACCCCCAGCTGAGACAATAGTGTGATTCGGCAACTCAAAAAGCCAATGCAATTCTGGGCTCCAGTAATAAGATTTTGAAATCTTATTACTGCAGAGATATAGGATGAGTGACACCAGGCTTGGAAGTCTATATGAAAGGAATCTGGGGATCATAGTGGACCGCCAGCTGAGACAATAGTGTGATTCGGCAACACAAAATCCAATGCGATTCTGGGCTGCAGCAATAATATTCTGAAAATGTAATACAGAGATATAGGAGGAGTCACACCAGGCTTGGAAGTCTAGATGAAAGGGATCGAGGGATCATAGTAGACCATCAGCTGAGGCGATAGTGTGATGCGGCAACTCAAAAAGCCAATGTGATTCTGGGCTGCAGCAATAAGATTTTGAAAATGTAATACAGAGATATAGGATGATTGACACCAGGCTTGGAAGTCTATGTGAAAGGGATCCAGGGATCATTGAGGGGAGGGGGGGTCTGTGTGCCAGGTTTAGCCTTGTTCTGTCATTGTTGGGGGCCACAAGGTGTTTTGGACCAACATTTCCCTTTCCTATTCCCTTTGCTACCATATGCAAATTGTACCTCGGAATGTTGAGGTTGGCCAATCAGAGACCATATGCAGATTGTACCACAGTGGTAGCCAATCAGAATCTTAGAATGTTGTGGCTGGCCAATCAGAGATCTTATGCAAATTATACCACAGAGGCAATCAGAACGCTGCCACATACACCTCCTGTTCTCCCTCCGCATACAAACATTGACTTTTATTATATACATAGATTTCTGTCCATTGGGAGGAGTAATAAAGAATATTTAGTAGATAACTAAATATTGGAAGTATTGTGGAACTTCAGCTCATCTAGATATTACAGGTTTACAAATACTATGTGGCTTGATATGTGTAATGTGAATTTTTCACTCCCCCAACCTTATAATTTGAAACAGCTGCCAGTATAAGGTAGAGGCATCATAATTGTTCCCTCTTGTATTATTTGACAGGGACATGAGAATGTGCATCAGAGCATGTGCATCAGGGAACACTGCTCACTAGTGATAGAGCTATCCTGCTTCCTTGTTCTAGATGTACTCATGTACACAGTATTTGGAAAATGTTCAAAATCTTTGAGCTAACAAGAGAGCAAACAATCCATTTAATTATTCCTGCTCTTGCTTATGATTTACCACCGATGTGCTAGCAGAACACTTACTTTGGGTGTAGCATAATGAGACTGTATTTCTAATTGCCAAATGTTTTGTGTCAGTGCCTTTAAATTGGCTAGAGGAGGGTGGAGGATGTGGGAGGTCAAAGCATCAAGTAAATGCTTGTTGCAGTTGATAAGATGAAGTAGAATGCAAGAAACATAGAATAACTTAAAAGTTTTCCTGTTAGTTAACACATATCATTTAACAACCACAACAATAATACAGCAATACTCCATTTGAGTGAATATGACTGTGGCATATAAACCATAAGAGTTTGTGTGTGAATTCATTTCTGTTTTTAACAAATACTTTGTTTCTGAAATAAATAATAATTTGTGAATACATTTGGATGATCTGCGCCGGGAGGGATGATCTGCGCCGAGAGCTAGACAGGGGGAGTGTGTCCCTGTTGGTGCTGCTGGACCTCTCAGCGGCCTTTGATACCGTCGACCACGGTATCCTTCTGGGACGCCTCGCGGGAATGGGTCTTGGAGGAACTGTTTTACAGTGGCTCCGCTCATTCCTCGAGGGTCGGTCTCAGAAGGTGTTACTGGGAGACTCCTGTTCAACCCCACAACCTTTGTCTTGTGGGGTTCCTCAGGGTTCAATATACTGTCTCCCATGTTGTTTAACATCTACATGAAGCCGCTGGGTGAGATCATCCGGAGTTTCGGAGTGCGATGTCATCTGTACGCAGATGATGTCCAACTCTGTCAGTCCTTTCCACCTGCTACTAAGGAGGCTGTCGAGGTCCTGAACCGGTGCTTGGCCGCTGTGACGGTCTGGATGGGGGCGAACAAATTGAAATTGAATCCAGACAAGACAGAGGTACTCCTGGTTAGTCGCAAGGCCGAACAGGGTATAGGGTTACAGCCTGTGTTGGATGGGGTCGCACTCCCCCTGAAGACGCAGGTTCGCAGTTTGGGTGTGATCCTGGACTCATCGCTGAGCCTGGAACCTCAGGTTTCGCCGGTGACCAAGGGAGCATTCGCACAGTTAAAACTCGTGCGCCAACTGCGCCCGTACCTTGGGAAGTCTGACTTGGCCACGGTAGTCCACGCTCTGGTTACATCCCGTTTAGACTACTGCAACGCTCTCTACGTGGGGTTGCCTTTGAAGACGGCCCGGAAGCTCCAATTAGTCCAACGCTCGGCAGCCATGATACTAACTGGAGCGGAGCGCAGGGAGCATACAACTCCTCTGCTGCACCAGCTCCACTGGCTGCCGATCTGCTACCGGGCTCAATTCAAAGTGCTGGCGTTGGCCTTTAAAGCCCTAAACGGTTCTGGCCCAACTTACCTATCCGAACGTATCTCGGCCTATCAGCCCACCAGGACCCTAAGATCTTCTGGGGGGGCCCTGCTCTCTATCCCGCCTGCTTCACAGGTGCGGCTGGCGGGGACGAGAGACAGGGCCTTTTCTGTGGTGGCCCTGCGGCTATGGAACGCCCTTCCCATGGAGGTAAGATCAGCTCCCTCATTGATGGTATTCAGGAAAAGACTAAAAACGTGGATGTTCGAGCAGGCGTTCGGTTAACTCAGTGCAATAAGTGTAATGATTGAAGGACTGGCAATCTGGACGATGAAACTGGATCACGATTTTAGTCAAGAGATGAATTGGATTGTTTATTGATATATGTTTTGTGGATTATGTTTTTATGCTTTTAAACTGTATACTGTTTGTTATAAGTTGTTGTAAACCGCGTTGAGTCGCCGGCTAGGCTGAGAAATGGCGGTATACAAGTATAGCAAATAAATAAATAAATAAATAAATAAATTTATAATATAATGCAGAATAAAACCTTTTTTCAGTCTGTAATCCATTTTTGTATATATTTTCAGGTGAAGTTTGGAAATACGACATTTAAGACAGATGTGTACCACAAATCTCTCAATCCTCAGTGGAATTCAGAATGGTTTAAGTTTGAGGTAAATGGATCAATAATTGATCAGATAACATAGACAAGCAAATTATTGAGTCAACTATAATTTTATTATAACACTGTTTATACATTTGTCAGAATTACATCATTGCACATTTTATTAAATAATGTTTGGGGGAAAATAGCAGGTTAAGTAGATCGGAGGGGAGCAGATCTAGTTTGTTGGCTCTTTTTTGTTTTTTGAGTGGTTTGGGGTTTTTTATTTTGTTCTTTGTTTTTTGAGGGGACAGTTCGAACTTCAAGATGCAACAGCAGAATCTTGGTGCAGGAGCCAAGATTGGGTTACACCCTTGTGCTGGCAGGGCTGCTGAATCTGGAGAGAGCAGGTGGAGTGCCTTCTGTCAGCTCCAGCTCCCCGTGCGGTGACATGAGAGAAGCCTTCCACAAGGATGATAAAACATCAAACATCTGGGCGTCCCCTGGGCAACGTCTTTGCAGATGGCCCATTCTCTCACACCAGAAGCGACTTGGAGTTCAAGCTCAAACTAACCACAGTTTTTGTTCATGTAAAATCTTCCTTGTGAAATTAGGAAGCACCGTATTTCTTTGATTTTGTTTTTCCAGGTGGATGATGAAGATCTACAAGACGAACCTCTACAAATCACTGTTCTTGATCATGATACTTATAGTGCTAATGATGCCATTGGAAAAGTTTACATTGATATTGATCCTCTCCTCTATAGTGAAGCGGCAACAGTTATCTCTGGCTGGTTTCCAATTTATGATACAATACATGGTAAGTTTATTTTTTAGTTCTCTGACAAGTTATCTAAGATTTTTACTGTCTATTAAAGCATGTGACCAAGTCATATACAGTACCAGTATACTATAGGAATATTGTTCTGGATCCCAATTAGTGCAGCTAATTGGTTAATAGAACTATCTTTGAAGAGCTTCCCACCACCCAAGAGTTCTATGTATACTTGCAGATTGCATTACAGACCATATGTAACTATTGATAAAGTTCAACCACTTGCTTGATGGTTTTACATTAGTATGGTGGCCTAACAGAATTCCAATCTCCCTCTCCCTCCCCCCCCTCTCCCTCCCCCCCCCCTCTCTCTCTCTCTATATATATGCATGCCAATAAGGCATAAGTTATGGAATTCTTTCCATATGATATATGAATATACTGTATAATTCTGAAGTAGAAACAAACTTGTTTCTTAGGGGAAGTTCTGTTGTAGTGTAATTTTTGTTAAGAATTTTTGCACTAGGACATTTTCAGCAACATCTCAGAAGTCTAGTGAATGTTGTAAAGCAGGGGTCCTCAAACTAAGGCTCGGGGGCCGGATACAGCCCTCCAAGGTCATTTACCCAGCCCTCGCTCAGAGTCAACCTAAGTCTGAAACGACTTGGAAGCAAACAATAACAACAACAATGCTATCTCATCAGCCAAAAGCAGGCCCACACTTCTCATTGAAATACTCATACATTTATATTTGTTAAAATCATTCTTCATTTTAATTATTGTATTGTTTTTAAGTGTTTTTTCCCTACAAATAAGATATGTGCAGTGTGCATAGGAATTCATTCATGTTTTTTTCAAATTATAATCTGGCCCTCCAACAGTTTGAGGGACTGTGACCTGGCCCTCTGTTTAAAAAGTTTGAGGACCCCTGTTGTAAAGGAAACTTCCAGAGAAATAAAATATTTATGTGGGAAGCACTTTCTTTATATTCTTAAAATTGTATTTCTTCTCATGCTACACTTCAGAATGACCCGTACACTCCGTTTCATGGGACATGGGGTCACCAAGGATGTTCTCCCACCATCAACTTCTAGATGGACTAATTGACTCTGTCTCACATTTCATGGGGATGGAGTTCAAAGTCTGATGAGGGAAAGTTATGAAATAGTTGGTTTCACATGACAACGGGCTTTATGCTGTCCTAGTAGTCAGAACATGCTTGTTGATGACAGTGGTTGGTTGTTCTTGCCATACTCGCCAACATCTTTACTAATTCATATTGAAGTTGCGTTAGTCTTAAATGCTGGTGTCTGCCCCTCCCTCAAGAAATACATTATTTGCCAACATTTTAACTCGCTAGTTTCAGACATGACTCATCATATATTTTTTGGTGTTGATAAGCCTTTTCCGAGCTGGTGCCTTTGATAGCTGATAATCCTTTACCATTGGCTATCTTGCCAGTTGCAAACATCTGTCAATCACTGGGTTTGGGAGTGTTGAAGTATGTATGTAGATTTTAATTCACAATTATATCTGAAAAATAGAAGAGTGATAAATATTGAACACAAAAGGAATGTTTTCTTTCTCAGTTTAGTTTTTCTAATATCCAAAGCTATTAACATTTTATTTTCAGTACGACTTTTATTATTTCATAGTTTATTACATTGTAGTTTTATATAGCATTGTAGAGTGTTTTCTTTTCAAATGTTATGCATAGTCTCAACTAGAAAAATATTCTCAATGCATTTTAGCACATTTGACACAATATCCATTGGTTACAGATAAGTTGCAATACCCTGAAAGAGCATCTGTACTTCACCTGTTCTGTATTGTTAATATTTTTGTTTTATGTTGTTGCATTCTATGTGAACCACCTCCGGAAGCTTTGGATAGAAAAGTCCATATTCATCCAGTCAATAAAGTCTAATTCTTTAGTTCAAACTGATTAATAACCTTTTTCATGTTTTTCATAAACAGGTATACGTGGCGAAATCAATGTGGTGGTGAAAGTCGACCTCTTCAATGACTTGAACCGTTTTAGGCAATCATCATGTGGAGTTAAATTTTTCTGCAGTAAGTCTGTAAATATTCCATAGTATATTTTTGTGTGAGAGAAATAGTCCAGAAGAAGCTCTAACAGGAGAAAGATGGTGTAAAAATAAAGTAAATAAAATAAAATAGAATAATAGTTTTTAAAGATTTATATCAGTGGGGCATTGGTGAATACAGAAATCAATTTTCTCTCTTTTTCCTTTTCTTTCCTCCTCCTTCTACCCCACTTTTTCTAACAGACACACATATTGCAGGTTATAGTAAAGTAAAGGTAAAGGTTCCCCCTGACATTAAGTCTAGTCGTGTCTGACTCGGAGGGCTGGTGCTCATCTCAATTTCTAAGCCAAAGAGCTGGCATGGTCTGTAGACACCTCCAAGGTCATGTGGCTAGCATGACTGCATGGAGTGCCCTTACCTTCTTGCAGAAGTGATACTTATTGATCTACTCGCATTTTCATGTTTTCAAACTTCTAGCTTGGCAGAAGCTGAGGGTAACAGTGGGAGCTCACCCTGCTCCCTGGATTTGAACCACCAACCTTTCAGTCAGCAAGTTCAGCAGCTCAGCAGTTTAGCCTTCTGCACCACCAGGGAGCCGCTTGCAGGTCATTCCCACAGTGAAAATGAATGTTTCTTTATTTTGAAACAAACACAACTGGAAGTCACCAGGTTGGAAATGGCTATTCCAAACCCATTGTGATAATCAGTTGGATCACTGAAAAGCAAAGTATTATACACATAGGAGTCTATGAACATAGTTTAGATGCTTCAGCCAATGGACTTATTTCCCTTCATTTTGAAAGAACTACATCGGCTGCCGTTTTGATTTTGAGCCCAATTCAAAATGCTGATATTTGTCTTTAGAGTCCTAGGGGTTTTGGAATACAAATATCAAGTAGTAACCTCTTCTGTACCATACTTTCCATCATGCATAATTAGGCAAGATGGACATCAAGTTCAGAAAGAGAACTTTTCTGCACATATTGCCATACTTATGGAATTTCCCATTCCATAGAGGTTCTCTTTTTAGTCATTCACCCAGGCTTTAAATGTGATGCATTTGTCTCTGAGTTTCATAGGTAGTATCTTTCAGAACTGCTGTGTACTCAAGTTTTAATGAAGGGTAGTGCATTTGAGTAAACAGATGTATTTTACTTGTGCTTATTTTTAACAGCTACATCTATTCCAAAGTGCTACAAAGCTGTTATCATTCATGGCTTTGTGGAAGAACTAGTGGTTAATGAAGATCCAGAATATCAGTGGATAGACCGAATCCGTACACCAAGGGCGTCAAATGAGGCCAGGCAGAGGCTTATTTCATTAATGTCAGGTATTTGTGATAATGGTCACTGCTTTGAAAACATGTTGGTCTGAAAGTGAGTCTGTTGTCGTAGAATCATAGCATTTTTGTTTACTTCAACTGAGATTTGATTGCTAGACCCCGTTAATCTATTTTAAGCTACTTCATGTTATAGCTATTGTTACCTGAAAACATTAAAATATATTAGACTTAGACAACTCATGACAGTGAATTGACCCAGACTGGGATTTGGATTTTAACTGGTGTGTTTAATCAACTTATTATCGAAGACTTTCATGGCTGGAATCACTGGGGTGTTGTAGGTTTTTTCGGGCTATATGGCCATGTTCTAGAGGCATTCCCTCCTGACGTTTCACCTGCATCTATGGCAAGCATCCTCAGAGGTAGTGAGGTCTGTCGGAACTAGGAAAGTGGGTTTATATATCTGTAGAATGACCAGGGTGGGACAAAGGACTCTTGTCTGCTGGAGCTAGGTGTGAATGTTTCAACTGACCATCTTGATTAACATTTGATGGCCTGGCAGTGCCTGGGGCAATCTTTTGTTTAATCAACTGTTTTTAATGAACTGTTTTAATGTTTTTAATGTATTTGTTGAATGTTTTATGATGATGATGACATTGTATGGTGTTTGTTGTGAGGTCGCCCTGAGTCCCCCCTCATGGGTGACAAAGGTGGGATACAAACATAGGAAATAAAAATAAAAAATAAATAAATTAAGGAAAATAATCAGTATTATGCTATGCTTGAGGGAAACAGATGCAATGTAAGCTATAAGGTCCTAGGAATGGAATTTTCATAGAGAGCTAACAACATGCTGACAGAAAAGCCATATTAATAGTAACTAGTAAGCATTTCACCTGTTAACATATAACTTAATCTAACAATAATTTACAAACAGTTGCAATGATTGCAACTTGCTGGAGTTATTTCTGGTCTGTTCTGAAACTGTACCTCATGTTATGAAGTAGCCACGTATCTTCTTGTCAGGTTGGAGCTTCAAAGGTCACTTCGGATTGTTGAGCTACATAGAACTACCTCACAGAGCAATAAACTGTTGCACTGAATGTGTGAAGAACTTATGCTAACTGTTAAGTATAATTTTTTTAACAACTGAAATCTCATTCAACCCATGGATCTCTATAATGAATCATAGTGTCTTATATTATTACTTCTGGTACTTAGTAAAAATCTGCTAACTTTAAGACTGTCTAAAGAGAAGCTTACTTCTGGCTTTTCAAAAAATTAGTTAACATTGCCTGTTGAAGAAAGAGAGCTAGGATCTACAATTCAGTCCTGAACAAAATAACTCAGGATGATCCATGCTACATAACTACACCTAAAATATAAGAATGAAATCATATTTTTGGACCTGAGTGCTGTTTTAGACATGAAAGGCCTTTTGAAATCTAGGGAATAAGATAACTCTTTAAAAAGCCTCTTCTGAGCTTAATATAAGCAAAGGGAGTGCCACCATCAAACGCAGCATTGCCCAAACACGAATCAAGGAACATGAAAGATAGTGCAGATTAATTCAACCAGAGAAGTCAGCCGTAGCAGAGCACCTAATGAACCAATCTGGACACAGCATATTATTTGAGAACACAGAAATGCTGGACCACTTTAACAACTACTATGTCAGATTACACAGAGAAGCCACTGAAATCCACAAGCATGTGGGCAATTTCAACAAAAAGGAGGAAACCATGAAAATGAACAAAATCTAGCTACCAGTATTAAAAATTTTAAAAATCAGGACAGAAAGTCAAGAACAACACTCAAAAACAGGGGAATTTCTGACAGGAATCAATCAGAGCCACCTAACACCTCCCAACAAAGGATCCACAGGCAGCAATCAGCCTTTGAAGCTCCAAGGCCATTAAATACCAGTCAAGGTGGCCAATTACAACATTCAAACTTTCCTCAAATAGAGAAGAGTTCTTTCTCCCACCCTGGACATGCCACAGATACATAAACTCCACTTGCCTAGTTTCCAACAGACCTCACAACCTCTGAGGATGCCTGCCATAGATGTGGGTGAAACGTCAGGAGAGAATGCTTCTGGAACATTGCCAGACAACCCACTAAACTTACAGCAACCCAAAAATATGAATTTACGTCAGTGGTTTCCAACCTTTTTTTTGACCAGTGACCACTCTCCAACATTATTACCAAAAGGGTTGCAAATCAGGTTTTGGTCAGCTTTAGATTCAGTTTGATTATTGCATTGTATAGACCACATCAGCTCTAGTTTCTGATACAGAACATATGCCATCCAGTAGTCGCCATCTGCTCACCCACAGAAAACCATATTTAATAAGCCTGGGCACTATAAGAGGGTTTCGTGAGACAATTCTCTCTCATTGCAGTGGTGTAGGCTGCAGACCATATTTTAGTTTTTGCGGACCACTGGTGGTCCACGGACCACAGGTTGGGAACCATTGATTTACGCCCTACATGGAAAGTATCTTTTGATCCAGAAAAAACTTTATAAAAATTTACCGTATTCAGGGCATGATGGAGGGAGTGCATCCCTCTGAGTCCTGGTAATTGTCTTTTGCTTGATTAAACCCAACACATGATAGCAGCAGAGCCAATATTATTTTCTTTTCAGTGTTTTAAAAATGGCATCCTAATGCTTTAAATAAAAAAAAATCACCTGAAAAGAATGCCTTAGCAGCATATTTTAACAGATGAAGGCTTGATCATGGGATTATCTTCTTTTGCAGGTGAATTGCAAAGGAAGATTGGCTTGAAGGTACTAGAAATGAGAGGGAATGCTGTTGTTGGCTACTTGCAGTGTTTTGATCTGGAGGGAGAATCTGGACTAGTAGTACGAGCCATAGGAACAGCCTGTACCTTGGATAAATTAAGTAACACACCAGCATTCTTACCCACATGTAATTCCCCATCCAAAGAAATGAAGGAGTAAGTATGAGTCGAATCTTCACTGGAAAGAGTTTTGTGTGTTCTTGGTTTATACTCATAGAGTTGTACATAATTCTATTTGTCCCATTTGATTTTAAACATACATGCACTTCCTTTCTGGTTTGGACTGAGAAATTTGAAATCCCTCCCTTACATGAACTCCTTGGACTGCATGTTGCAAAAATAGACCTTGGCTTGTCTGTTCTGTAAAGCTGGGTACAACTATATGGACACAACATGCTGATGACAGGGTTTCTGTGTTCTACATTGCAAGTCACGTTTCTTGCTTTTGATTGGAGTGTTAACAGCATTTTAAAAATATTTCAGGTTGGTTTTTTTTGCACCATCACCTCTTGTCACAGGACTTCTGTCTTTAGTATTTCTAATCTGAATGTAGCAGCTGTATATTTAATCAAGAGGGAAAATAGTGTTAAAATTAGTGTTGTAACATGAATGCTATATTATTTAATGCTGTAGCTAAGGATGTATGAGATAAGTCAGATTCTTACAGCTGCCTAGTCCTTTCCTCTCATTTAGGACAAGCTGAGTTTTGTTACTCTTTGATTAGAACTAGTCCGTTCTCTGTTTAGTACTGGTTCACAGAGTTCAGCATTTTGCAAGATCAAGTGAAATAAAAATAGTAGAGCGCTTAACTGGAAGCAACTAATTGAGGGAGGTTAAGTGACCAGTGGAAATGGATCAAGTTACACTTAACAGCAGTGTTTAGCCTTTTCCACACTTAGCCCTAAAAGGTAGGGGACATGTTTTTCCTGTGATATAGAATATGGGGTTATCTTAGGCCATACCAGCTGCTTTCTTGAATGTTTCAGGGATTCCTGTTACCAATGCATGCAAATATTAAAATAGACACCCCCAGTAATAGCATATTACCTTATCTTGTATTTTGTTTTGATTTTTGATTCACAGATATACTTCACTGGATTCTTGCTATTAGAAATATTTGTTCTCCTGTAATTGCTCACATGAACATATCTTTTGTTGTTTTCATACTAATGTGAAGTTATGACATTTTGCCACCTTTTGCAGGAAGCTCCTCAACTCCTCCAGTTGTGTATTGATTTTGGCAGAGATCTTTGCTTGAGTTAGGCCAGACTTCCCTGTTAAGTTGAATTAGAAGACTTGGCCTGATGGCTACTAACTAAAGCAGGAAAATAAAACTGAACCACAAACCAAGATCTTTACTCTGAAGTCAGTGGGGAAGAGTGGTTCCTTTTTTTAATAATACGATAAACTCTGGAAGAATTATCTGAGTTGGACCTGTTTTGAATATTAGTCAAATTGGTAAATGCCTTGACTATAATTTGAAATTAGTGTTGTTTAGTGTCTGACATTGAGACTTATCTTCATTGTTGGAATAGGTAATCAAAGCAAACATCTCTATAAATGTGTATGTGTTCACAGATGGTTTTAGCCATTTTTATTTATTTAGGTGTTCAACTCTTCACCAGCCTAATCTTCAAATACTGATTTTCCTGAATAGTTGGTCCATGTTTGTCCCAGCAGTTTTCCCTATGTACTCCCTTAAGTACCTTCTGATAGGGGCATATTGTTTGGGAAAGAGATGTAAATTTTGTTCACTTGCACAAATATTGGGATTAAAACAGTTTCTTGCCTTCTTCAAATTAAAGTGTAAATGAGAGCTTGGAAAAAGATGTGTGTGCTTCTGCTTCATCAGAAAGCAAGGGGCGCATTCTTGGTGACTGAACTTGTGGATGCCTGTGCTTCCTCTTAAGAGCCACCTTTTCAAAAGAAAATAATCAATTTGTCTTCGATGGCACCAATGTTTCTGCATTTTGCTGACTCTATTTATAATCTTCTGATCAAACTAGATCTTACAGTTTATTGTACACACCCACAAATAGCCTACTAATAGTCTTCCTACCTTTATTAGCATTTCATCTTGAAATAACTGGAAACATTTTGCACTGGTATAATCTTGCATGCTAAGATTTTTGTGTTATTTAAAACAAAGTCACGCCAGTCAAACTAACCACCTTGAACCAGGTTGCACTTCAGACTACCAGGAGCGTATTAATAATTTCTTTCTTAGCTCTGCTGTTACCACAAATTACAGTTCTAACAAGTTAATACTTAGCTGTGTTTTTTTAAGATTACATCTTTCCTCTTTAGAGCAGGGGTGTAAAACCTAAATAAATTGGAGGGCCAATTTTTGCAATGAGTAGATCCCCAGGAGCTGGATTTGTTTTTTTTAAATGTAGTTTTTTTTTAAAAAAACTAGTCAATTACATTATGATTTGCTGAAGATCAAATTTCTCCAAACTCTCCTTCCTGGTGTCTCACGCTCACTTGTTGCAAGTTTTTAAGTGCCTGATGTTTATTTCAGATAGGAGAAAAATCTATTTTTGTCTTACATCTGATGGCATCCTGCTTCATCATCCTAATTTAAAGAAAATTAACTTCGTTCATCTAAAGTATGAGGTAATTTAAATGGCAAGCTTGAGCCATTTGAGCAGTGGGATTGATCTTTTTTTGTGAGCAACCATGCAGTCTGATGTTTGTGGCATTTTAATCCTGAACATTGACTGATGGAGGTAGTTTGGAGGGACTCTAAAAGGCCTAATAAGGGCTCCTATGTTCCTTATGTTTGACACCCCTGGTTTAGAGCCTGCTCTTTTAAAAAATTCACCCTCCAATAGCTAGAACCACCCTGAAATAATTTTAAATGTAACTTTGCAATCTCTTGTATGTATTTTTTTTCTTTCCTTCCACTTTGGCTGCAAATTCTCTCAGGTCTCCGCTGGTTCATCCACCAAGCCATGGATGTCGTTCGACTCACAACAGTCCAATTCACACTGCTACTGGCTCACGGCTTACTCAGAACTTCTCTGTGTCTGTTCCCACTCTCATCTACACTGGTACGCGACCGCTCAGGCTCAGAAGCTGGGGAGAGACAGGCCACAGGCCCAGTGACCGAGGCAGGCAGGCAGGCAGTGTAGGCAGGTACCACAAAGCGTTCCACAGTGGGAGTCTCTCTTACAAAAATAAGTACCCTAGCATTCATCTGATAAAACTGAGACCATACAAAACTGGATGATGCATGGTTTTAGGGTCTGCCTTTGTTTGCTTTGTTTGTGTGAATTTTCCTTTTCCAGTGATGAGATTTGCATCTTAGGTTTTTCACTTGTTATAATGGGGGAGGGAAGGAACAGATTTCTTGATTGGGCTTCAGGCTTAATCACAATTCTTTCATGTTGCGTGGAAGATACCTTCAACAAGACAAACAGGTAAGACAGTACTAAATGCTGCACAAGTTGTTGGTTCATTGGTATTGGTATGGTTTTCCTCTCTGTCCTGTTTTTAGCTGTGGCACGTTGCAGATGCTAACGGATAAGGAAACAGCTTTTCCCCCCTTGGGAATGTGTGTGTGCGTGCGCGTGAGATATAAGTGTTTATGTCTGCGTGTATATGAACACACAGATATATAGTTTGCAACCTTCACTCTGTTTTCGTGCTTTTGTTTTTGAGGATTTGGTTCGAAAAGCATATTGCCTTCCTGACCCAAGCCATGGTTGTGATGGGATTTACTTTCTTTGCCTGTTTTTCTTAGGTTGGATGCTTTATGCCTTAGCTGTGGTTTTACTTTTGGTTTTGCTAACAAATGATTTCCATCTACCTGCACAATGCTGAGCTGGTAAAAAAAATCTTTTGCACCTTTTGGCCTCATAACTCAGTGTCACACCAGAGGACATCAGTTGGCCCTTCCCTGTCCCTTCCCCACATCCTGGTGTTGGGATCATGCTGCTGTCAGCCCGGTCCTTTGGCATAGGATCACTGAATATGTTTCCACCTTCTTCTGGCAGGATTCCTTTCAATGAAGAACCCAATCCCAATCCTCATTCATCAGGACCCTCCACCCCTCTGAAAAACCAAATCTATTCCTTTTCACCTTCCAAGTCCTACAGTCGACAGTCCTCTTCTTCTGACACAGATTTGAGTTTGACACCCAAAACTGGTAAGGCGCTTCCACCCGCATTATTTTAAGTTGTTCATTTGCTTTGTTTGATTTGTGTTGTATCTATTTTAGCTTTTTATTCACTCCCTTCCTCTGTTTTCCCCCCATGTAAGTTATCCCAATAAGCTGGAAGTAGGGTTATATCAAGTGTCTGTGGATTTCCTATTAAATTGTATAGTGCATTGACATCTTCTCCAGACTGACACATAGTACTTCATAATACAATAAGAGGACCACAAAGATTCTTTTAATTTCCTCCACATCATGTTGCAAATTATGGAGATAGAAAATCGCCATAATATGTTGGGGAGATAGTTTAATGTGTATAACACCGTGCAAATTCATAAGGCTAACTTTCTAATTACAAAATGTTGATCTTGGCCTACATATCTTTCTATTTATTCTTAAGTTTGCAAACTCTAAAGTTAAAATATGGCTGGCTGGCTTCCTGCTGAGCTGATTCCAAGCTATGCATAATTAACATTTATACTTCTTGCTTTCAAATTGCTATTCTGTTCCCACTAGAAGTCTCTCTTCTTAATTTTGACCATATCTTTCATTTTTTTTTTTATAAATACCATTTTACATTTTGTTTTTGTTCTAAAGTGTATCTGCATGCTGTACTGGAAACTCAAAGGCTTTCATCCTTTAATGTTGACATTTTACCCTGTTCCTCAGTTCAGTGATTCTCAAACTGTGAGCAAGATTCCCTTAATAGTCAAGGGGAATCTGGAGAACAGATGCAAAGTTAGATGTAGAGATGGGACCTTAAAACAAGGGACGCCTTTATCAATCTCTAGGCAAGATCTGGATGGATTAAATGCCCCTTGCAAAGATCCCTTTCTATTCCACTTTGAATTTGAGGATAAATGTCTCAATTATCCAGTGGAACTTGGAAGAAGGAAATCCAAAATCTGCTGGGGTTTAGTTTCTGGGATGAGCAATTACGCAGTATTTAGAAATCAGTAGGAAAGTTTGTTCTTTTCTAGACAGTAGTACAGGACTGCTATTCCAACCTACAGGTCCTTGCCAATGGTGTTGAGTATGACTGAAATAATTCATACTTCATGTCAGCATTGGTAGCATGTGGCAAATGTATAATTCAGCATTGGGACCTCTGTAGGCTTGTCTGGTTGGTGTTGGTGGGGCAAACCAGAGAAGGCAAAGTTTGGAAAAGCGCCAAATTCAAAACATTTGAGAAACACTGTCCTAACTATATGGCTGTTCCCAGTCAGTTTTCATGTAATGTATGTCTTCTGTTTTTACCTTTAAAATAATTTTTGCAAAGTGATGTTTGATTTTCCTTTTAAAAAAAGCAACAATTGAGTTTAGAAAATACAGTGTATGGTGCTGTACAATCTAAGCTACGTTCCAGCAATATTTTGACCTGTTTGTCTACCTTGCTGTGTTTGTATTTTTTTAAATTGTTTATCTAGTGCAGTTGCTAATACGTTATTATGCATTTCTCAGTTTTCTTTCAATTTCACATAAGTGTTGCTTCTTTAAAAAAACAATATTTAACAGTTGCATTAATTTTTGCCAGAAAGAAATGCTTGCTGTTTATGCCTATTCATCTTGTTTGGTAATATGAGAGCTATTTTAACATGCAGCATTATTGCAGATAAAATATATTTTATTGCCTGTTGAATTTCATGAATTGAGAGAGAAGGTTTTGACCAAGCAATATTTATATTAATATTCTTGTGGGTATTATGTATGCACATTTTAAAATATATAACAAGTACATTTGGCTGATGGACTAATATGACTGAGCCTTGTGCTTGGATCACTCCTTTTTTCAAGTGTGCCTGCAGACAGTCATAAAGCCTTTTGATTGCTATAGATTACATTCCATTCAAAATGGGAAAGTTTCTGTCTAATATAAGGAACAAGTATCTAAATCAGATTTAGATACTTGCCCAGTTTACCTGTGCGAACGTGTTTCCCCCTACGAACCATCAAGGACTTTAAGATCATCTGAGGAAGCCCTGCTCTCGGTCCCACCGCCATCACAGTCGTGTTTGGTGGGGACGAGAGACAGGGCCCTCTCTGTGGTAGCCCCTTGGCTGTGGAACTCCCTCCCTAAGGAGGTTAGATCTGACCCCTCCATCTTGACCTTCCGGAAGAAACTTAAATCCTGGTTATAGGAGCAAGCATTTGCAGATTAGATTGATTGGCAATGATGAGATTTTATTGGACCACAATTTGGATGGATTTGGATGATGTTTTAACCTGGTGAACTGTTTTAATGTATATTGATATTTATTTTTTAGGCATTGGATTGTATTTTATGATGTGTTTTACTGTTTCGGCATCAAATTGTTGTCTGTTGGTAGCCATCCTGAGTCCCTCCTCGGAGGTTGAGAAAGGTCAAGATACAAATGTTCCAAACAAATAAATAAATAATTCCCAACCTTTTTTTGACCAGGGACCACATGACTAGGAACCATTCTCCACCATTAGTACCAAAAGGGTTACAAATCAGTTTTTGGTTAACTTTAGATTTGATTTCATTATTTGGATTGCTCATTTAGAAAATTGCATTGGATAGACCGCATCAGCTCTAGTGTCTGATAGAAAACATATGGCATCCAGTAGTCACCATCTGCTCACCCACAGAAAACCATATTTAATAAACCTTGGCACTATAAGAGGGTTTCACGAGACCAGTCGTTCTTGTTGCAATGGTGTAGTAATGGTGAGGCCGTGGACCACATTTTAGCTCTTGCAGACCACTGGTGGTCCACAGACCACAGGTTGGGAACCACTGATCTAAATTATATAGCTATACCTGTGAATACACTCTTGAATCTCATTGAACTTAAGTAGACTAACAGATGGTAATAGCATAAGTTTCCAGATCTTAGGTAGTATCCAAAATTTCCGGGTGGAAATTGAATATGTTTTTGTCCTTTGATGAACTGGGACCCATATTTTATTTGCTCCCTCCACATGTATCATACCTGAATATTATTCTGTCACATTTGAAAAGTTCTGTGGTCTTTTTCATAGACTGGAAGGAAGGAAGAACAGGAAAAGCTCCCTTTTAACTGCTTGGAGATTGTTGGATCCATTCTTCCCTGAGCTCAAGGAACTTTAGATACATCTTACTTGAAGAGCACCTTACTTCCAAGCATCTTACTTCCTGCTACATGACAGAGCTAAATACAATTGCAGGGGCAGTTGTCAAACTCTTGTTTAAAGAAAGGGTAGAAGAGGGAAAAAATTGGTGACCATGTGCCTAATCAGTACTGGAGATTCTATCCCATGTCTTTACTAAACAGTAGTCTTGTACATTTGTATAGAATCACAATCGGTTTCTGTTTGTTTCATTTGTAAGGCCCCGATTTCGTTTTTGAGTGCCTCTCCCAAAAGTGCCTTTCCGAATGAGCTTTTTTGTCCAAGGTCCGAAAAATGAATATTTTTGGCCCATTAGCAGCAATGCATGGGCTTCCTACACTCCCCTTTCCCTCAGTTTTAGGGCTAGCACTCGGTGCTTGGCTGCAAGCCCTGCAGGTGCTGGCGCTTTGGGCCTGCTCGCCATACATGCCCTCTCCTTGGAAAGAGAGTGTGTGTGTGTGTGGCAAGTAGGCCCAAAGCGGCAGCGCCTGAAGGGGCCTACAGTCGAGTGCCGAAAATCAGCCAACCAAACTCTTACTGTTCCCACTTTCCTTTCGTTTCACTGATATTTCTGTACCAAAGGGAGGGGGGGGTTGTATCATTTTGTGCATTTTGAAAGAACAAAATGATACAAAAACACAAATTAAATGGATGAAACGGTAACTGGGCCCATGACTTCTAAACAGAGCATAGTAATGGAAAGAATAATGCATTGTCTTTCTAAATGTAACTCAAATATATACGAGCTTAAAAACTGTGTCAACAAAATATGTTTTGGTCATTTGAAGCAAACCGTAGAGCCTTCATAAGAAATCTTAAAAGCATGCTGCTCATACAAGCTCAGACTTCTAAGCTGTGAATGGTATTTGGTAAACTAACAGAATAATGTAACTAATAAAATGCTGCTACCTCTTTTTTTTTTGTTTAAGCGAACACATTACTGATTACCCTAATATATATGTGGAGGAAATTGTGAAGATGGGACTTCATTATATTTATAAATGTTTTTTTTTAATTTTTTAATGTAAACTTTGGTATAGACTTTAAATTTGCAAATATTCAGAAAATCCACAATCTTCCTGAAAAAAATGGAATGTTCTTTAAAATACCATGGAAAATTGTTCTTAATTACCTACCTTCATTTTTAAAATAGTAATTACAATTTCAAATAAAACTTAAAGCATGACAAAATGTCCATTACTTATAAATAAAAAGAAAGAATATGTTAAAATATGAATTTAAACATTTTCCTCATTGACTTCGTAGTGCTGTATTTGTCACCTCATTTATTGTGCGTCAGTAAATAGGTCATTCATGTGCTGCTAGACTGTTGGTTCATTTTTGCAAGTTTCAGTTTTCCTTGATTCATTTTGCTTTCTCTCCTTTTGATTTCACTTTATTTCCCCGCTTTCTGAAATCTACCATCTCTTCTCTACTGCTTCCCTCTACAGCATTTTCCCCACAGGGACCTAGGATTTTCCTGTTTCCCAGTTCCCCAACTCTGTCTAGTGATTCCTTACAGCTTAAACAGCCCCGTCTCCTCTCTGGGTCTAGCCCTAACCCTCTTCACTCTAGCCATGCCAACCCAGTTCTGAGAAAAAGTGTTTCTTTCACTGAAGAGTTGCTTCTGACTGCTTCTGGTAGGATCAATCTTAAATCACGTTGCTTTTTGTTGTTTTTATTTTCATTTTTAGTAGACTCTGCTACTTTGTGGTGGCACTGAGCACAACCTTAAAGCTTCTCATACTTTCTCTGCACCCCCTTCCCTTTTAAACTCTGGAAACTGCTGGCTACATGACTATTGCAAAATTCCCCAATTGGGGTTTTCTCTGTATCTTGATTTTTCCATTAACATTATCTAACCCTCAAAAGGAAGCTGTTTTTTGCAGTTCCAATTTTTGTCCTTTCCTTCCAAAAACCTGACCAAATGTTAGTAATTGGCCTGCTTTTTCATCCTTCGGTGGTGATATAATTATTCATTTCCTGCTATTGTAAATGTTCCTCTGTTTCAGTTGGAGCAAACACGCCTCCTTTCTCTCCAAGTCATTTGTATTACTCTGTTAACCATCATGTGGCCATCAGCCATATTTGTTTTCTGTATCTACAGTTTTATATACCATTGTTATTGTTTGCAGTATGTACACTTGTTTTGTCTTTGTTTTCAGTAGATTGCTTTGCTAAATGCGAGTGTTGATGGTGTCTGTTTTCTGCAGTTAGTGTTTTGACTGTTCTCCTTTTGGGAGAAATGTTTCATTTTCACAAACAGCTGTCATTTCATTTCTGTCTCTGTTCTTAGTATTGTATAGTCCCTTGTAAGACAGACTTAACTTCAAAAAATAATAAATTAAATTGATTTATACAGAACGGGACTATATAGATGCTAATATTTGTTTCCTTATCCAAAAACAGCTAAAAATATTTCCTTAGGTAAGGGTTGTCATTTGTTATACAAGGATCTGGCCATTTTAGTGTGGGTGAGAGAATGACTGATGACAGGTAAACCAAGTCGAATACCTTATAAATTGTATAGGTTGCATTTATGTTTACTGAGGTTCAGAACATTAGATGGTTTGTAGAAAAAAACCATCTGAGTGGGTGGAAAATGACCGTACAGTAAAAAAAATGTTAAAAGTATGCCTTTCTTTATAGTTCTGTTTTGATCCATTTGTTCTTTGCTTAGTATTGGATGACTTTATTGACATCAGTCTGTGGATTGATAGGGTTTGGTTGTACATGTGTGTCTCAAGAGATTTATTGTGCCATTGTGCTTCTTTGGAAGTCTCGGAAGAGATTCCTAGAAACGCTTTCTGGTGATTAGATTATCCTTGGATTCATTAGGATTTCTAAATCAAATTCATCTTGATTGGAATAAACGAGGTTTGAGAATAACAAAATTGTCCATGGGTTTGTGTATCTCATAAAACTAATGTTTTAGATAGTGGACTGAAAGGTGTTATGATGTTTTTTGTACTGGTTGTGTTGGTGTATATTAAACCACACTATGAAAATGCAGCATGCTTGCATGCATCCTATGCCTGTTTGCACTTGCTTTGCTACTCTCATACTAGATGCCCTATGAACCAGACAGGGAAATACTGGCATCTGAACCCAGGACTGTGATTTAGTGCCTCCAAACTATACCCAGGATTTGAAGGGCAGTAACAAATACTGATTTGAAGGTAGTATATACTCCCGTGTTACCTGAATTCAATACACCATACTCAGGCCACAGCCAATGGAGTCGCTGAGTTGGCAAGTGGCCCATTTAGCAAATTACTATAAAGATGGAATTTCAACAACTGAGCAGGATTTCAGATGAGGAAGATTTCTTTTTCCGGCCTGGAAATGCCAGGAATTAGATCTCAGTTGTTGCACCATAGCTTTGGTTACTTTAGTTCAGGCCTGGACAACCTGTGGCCCTCCGGGTGTTTTGGTCTTCAATTCTCAGAATTCCTGACCATTGGACTAACTGGCAAGGACTTCTGGGAGTTAGAGTCCGAAACACCTGGAGGGCCACAGTTTGTGCAGGTCTGCTTTAGGTCCTAGGTGAGGAAAGAAATCCATGGGATCATTTGAGTTTCACATCATGTAATTTTAATGGCCTGCTAGCAGATGTTCATCATCTCGGAAAGGTTAGGCTACTATTGTGAAGCTCACTTTCGATTAACTTTTGAAAAGAGATGTATGGAAATAATCTAAATAATATCAGTGGAAAAGCATCCCTGTGGAACTAAGTAGCATGATATTTAAGAAACTGAACTTTATATCTAATAAAATAGTTTTTATTTAATTTATAATTTGTACGCATACAGTGACTGACATCTAGTTGCTAGTCCCAATTAGAGAAGACCCACTGAATCATTGGGTTTTACCTAAATCTTGATTTTTACCAAGCATTGGTTGTTCTAACAGGTCTACTCTAATGGAGAGTAGAAGATGGAATTGTTACTATAGTTGATAGTTTACCTGTGCACATTTGAGCCAAAAGCCTGATGTGTGAAAATTGGTAGTGTTAACCATGGAAAAAGATCAAATAGTATTGAAAGCATTTAGTTCTACCTACATCAAACTCTTTATAATTTTCCTGTACATGTTAATAGAAAACTCCTGAGTGAGATAAATACAAAATTACATTAGATAAATACAAAGTTAGATTAGGTTCCCTGCAGTGTTAGATAAATACAAAGTTCAACTACAAAGAAACTAAAAAGAAAGCTGAAACGTTATATCTTTCCCCTAGTAAATATGTATTCTGTTTAAAAGTAGTTTCTTGATAATATTGGCTTTCTGGCTCTTCTAAAAGTAAGCCTTCACAGTTCCCACAATATTCGCTAGTAGCCAAATAATGTTTTGCCTTGTTGTGTTTTGCATTTTAGAAAGTTCAGTAATATATTTGTCTTCACTGACTTGAACTGGCTATTGATCATACGTTACTGTCCTTTAGGAATGGGCAGTGGGAGTGCTGGAAAAGAAGGGGGACCACTAAAAGCTCTGTTAAGACAACAGACCCAATCAGCTCTGGAGCAAAGGGTAAGATAAACATAATAACCTTATTTTGTACTTTGTATTTTAACGGCGTAATGTATATACATATTTACTCGGAAATCCCATTGGGTTAAACAGGACATATTCCCAAATAAATTGGTGTAGGATTGCCAAATAAAACCGTAACAGATTCCTGTTATAATCTGCTTAATTTTTCCTTTATCAGTAAACCTTATCTTCCTGCTTTGGTCTTGGGCTATAAGCAATGTAATGTTTGTTCAGATGGATGAATTCAGTGCATATCCAGATCAAGGACAGTTCTAGAAAATGGAGACCTCAATCATGATATGTGTTTTTCTCTTTCTCCTTTCTTCTTTCCTTCCTTCCTTCTTTCCTTCCTTCTTTCCTTCCTCCTTGTACATATCTCCTTTTTATCTCTGTTTCTCAGAATTTGATTAACTGTTTAATCTCCCTTTTCATTTAAAACATTCTAGCAAGGTTTACAGGTGTATAAGCAGAATTTCAAAGCCTGCTCTTCAGCAAAGTCAATTGATGAGGTATATCAGTACAGAGACAGCCATGTTTATACACTTGGAGACAACTGAACGCCATTTTGGCCTCATGCTATTAATTGGATTAGAATGAGAACTATCATTTCATTATGGTTATGGGGGTCTGAAACCAAACTGGAATCCTGAACCTCATTGAAACCTGTGGATTTCAGGCTTCTTGAACCAAAAACCAGTGTTTATTTACATTTAGAAGATGGTGTCAGATCTTATGTGCTTGAAGATATATACCAGTTTGCACACTTCATTCAAATGTGGAGTAATTCTGAAATGATAGCAACATTAAAATTGTATAAGTGGATGATTCTCTTTTCATTTCTTGTGTTATCCATTGCTAAGGGAGGATCGCCTCATAGGTTCTGTAGAAGGCGGGTATGTTCCAAATCATTGTGTGACATTTGTTTTAAGCCCTATATTTTTGTGTTAATTTTATTTTCCTAGCTTGGAGTTTTGGGTTTGGTTTTTTTTTTGTTTCTTAGGAATTTGGGGTTGTTTGTTTTGGTAACATACTTTCTCCCAGATTCCTTTTAGAACCCTCATATCCAAAATCGAATATATTTGTCCCAAGATCATCTAGCAAATCCAAACCCTCCTGCTTAACCATTAGGCTGCATGACTGTACATTCCATTTAACTTTTCATTTCATTATAATTAGTTATACATAGCTTTTATTTTGTATTGTTCCATTTGACAATAAACTAACACAGGAAAAAAATATTTATCTTGTGTCCCTGTCCTAGTAATATAGATGTCTTGTGGGTATTTTGTTGCTTTATTGATTGTACTTTTAAAATGTAATTCGTTTTAAAAGTTTTCCTCTTATGAGCTTTTAATAGTTAAATTAATGTAGTATTTTGACCTCATGAACAGTCACCATAACATAAAAGACCATTAAAAAACTAGCCTTAAATATGCTATGTTAGCACTATGCCTTCACACTTAACAACCTACAATTTATTGCAAATGGCATATTTGGGTCTGTGCCATAATCTGAAATACATGGTTTAACGTTACATCCGCTTCCACTTCCTCTTGTCAAAGCAAACCTGTAGTAAGGAATGTGTAATGCAACCCTCCAAACACTGTCACAGGGTTGTCTTCATTCAATTCTATAGATGATGCAGGAGAAATGTTCTCTTTTATCTGCAAGCCTATGCCAGTTCTGGGGGCTCATGGTATGAATAAGTCATGCAGGCAGGACTATCGTTATAAAATAAAACCTAAGGCCAGATTCTGATGTAATTGACTCAGTGACATTTGTCACAAGCATGTAAAGAAATGGCTCACAATACAAAGAATGGTGATTTTGAGATGGATTAAATGTGCATCTACGACACAACTCTGTCTCCTAGGGACCTTCCATACAGCCCTATATCTCAGAATATCAAGGCAGAAAATCCCACATTATCTGAGTGTGGACTCAGATAACCTAGTTCATAGCAGATATTGTGGGATATTTTGCCTTGATATTCTGGGATATAGAGCTGTGTGGAAGAGCCCTTGTGGCCTCCCAGATCCTCCCAGGAAGCTCTCAAATGGGGCAAGAGATATTAAAAATTACCTAGTATTTAATTTGGATGCCTTGTTGTGGTTACACAACTTCTTTTCTTTTCTTTTTCTTTTCTTTGGAATTCTAATGTTTGGATGTGTTAGGACAAGGAGCTGGAGGAAATGGGTAGAGCTGAGATATTAAAGCAGAAGCATGAGGTAATTTGTTGGAGATGTTTCTTGTGCAAATGCTTTTGCAGTCTTTCTTGTGCCTTTTTGGGTCATGGAAGATAGGCCAGTTAGTAACAACTAGCTCTACAGTTGGAGGCCATATGTATTTGAGTACCAAATAGACCTAAAAGTGAAATCCAGAGTATTCAAGGCATAGAGATAAGTAGCTTCTTCAGGAATTAGGATTCACAGGAAATGTATCATTCACGGTTGTATGGCAGGTTGTGCAGTGGTTCTCAACCTGTGGGTCCCCAGATGTGGGCCAAAACACCTGGGGACCCACAGGTTGAGAACCACTGTCCTAGTTCATATGGACAAGTTTCAGTTTCATACACTTTCTTCTCTTTCACTAATAATGATCACAAGAATGAGGTTCAACATAATTTAGCTTCTGTCAACATGCAAGTGTGAATAGATCAATAGGTACCGCTTCTACGGGAAGGTAACAGTGCTCCATGCAGTCATGCTTGCCACATGACCTTGGAGGTGTCTACAGACAATGCCAGCTCTTTGGCTTAGAAATGGAGATAGCACCACTACCCAGAGTTGAACATGACTAGACTTCATGTCAAGGGGAAACCTTTACCTTTTTACCAGATGCCAAACTCAGGCTTATAGTCAAAGCAAATCTCCTTCATAAACTATGGTTTAGAGTTGGATGCTTTGTTAGGACTATAGTTTATATTAGACACAACTGAATTGAAGTAAAAACATTTGAAAACCTCTTTGCAGCTTCTTTGGAAATAGTAGAGTTAAGCAAGACGGAAGCTCTCTGTGGCTTGACCTCAAAATGTGAATCCTGGTTTAGCACAAAAATGGCTACAGGTTCTGACCAAATTGTTCAGACAATTTTTGCATTCTTACACACACACACACACACATGCACACATGTGTATACTCTCTTTCTGTCCCTCATCCACTGCTTTTTAAAAGGCTAGGGGTTTTTTTTGCCAAGAAAAGGATCAATTCTTAAAGGTGCGGAAGTTCATTGCATTGAGATGCCACCACACTGAAATTAGGATTTTTATAAATGTAATTGTAGCTTGGAAAGAAGTGAGAGAAGTCTCTTAGTTGTGAGGGTAGTGGGGAAGTTTGTGAACTGGATGGGGATCTCTCGCTCGCTATGTGTTCTTCATTTTTGGTTTACAGTTATGTGTGAGTTCTGCTGATTTCTTTACTCAATTAATAAAAAGAAATGGAGATAGCTCATAGTACTGTAATTTTAGAAATCAATTATCAATTGTACTTGCCTTCTGGTTTCTAATCTCTTACTACTTCTCCCCATCTTGTTTTAAAATTGCCTAAAAACCTTGAGGGATAGATACGTAGCCTAGAGGAACAAACAAAACAAAACAAAATAAACAAATCCATCTGCAAGACAAATATTATCAAAAGCTGAGAATTACATATTTCTTTGGGAGGCTTTTCAAAGTCTGTGCTTGGCTTGTTATTGGCTCTCCCTTTCCTCTTGCTTTTATTACCTGAGAAAGAATTTTAACGCTATGCAACCTGACCTATACATTATCCCTATGGTATGTGATTACAGGCACTTGACATTTTTCACAGAAAGATATGATATTGATGTATGTTCTGCCTCCCTTCTGCACTCGGCAGTCATAGGAGCATTGTGAAATATATCACTGTTGCATGACTTTATTTTTTATTTTTTGCATTGGTGCTGTAGAACTGGCAGATGGAAACCCATCTCCTTTCCCCCCATAAATATGCTATGCAATGTTGTACACAGATTTACATTCTTACAAAAATAAAAAGCAGCCTATTTGGGACCTTCCTTTTTTGAAAGCATAAACATAAGATTTCAAAATAGAATTCTAGTTTCTTGAATTTTTTAATTTTTGCAGTTCTATCCTACAAGTAGGACAAAAATATGTGAAAGTGCTTAATGCTGGCCTTCTTTTTATATTATACTGTATTCTGCATCTTTTGTGTCTATAGATAGATCTGTTACAGCCATGAGATCAGATAGACCGTCCTCACTTCTGTGGCAATTGATTCCCATTGGCCCTTGATAAAATCATGATTCTGCCACTCCAACTTCTCTCTGCATCTATTTGAACATTTCCCATTATTTCTGAAGAGATGCTGCTGCACTTATTCTTGTGCTTCGTATTGAGGCCTGAGTTCAGCAACCCTCTCCTGTTGCCTGTCTTTTTTGTTTCCTCAAGCTCCAGTCTTTTCTGTTCTCTTTGCACTCTTTTTGCGGGAAGCAGATATATTGGAATCAAATATAAGGTTGCAATGGAGCGAGGGGTGGGACTGCAATCAATAATTCTTTAGTAAACTAGTAGGAATAGGGTCTGCATTGTCCAAACACATTTGGGTGACTCAGGCAGTGTTAGGAATCAATAACGGAAGTAAAATTATTTTAACTTCTTCATGATTCCAAGGATTGTGGGATATCTATCTATCAATCTATCTATCTCAGTGGTGGGGGCTAATCAGAGAAAATGTTCTAACAAGATAGACACAAATCAATTTCCTCTGAATGTAAGTAATGGAACAAAGCAGCTTAATCTCAACATATGTCAAAACAGTAATATCAGCCATAATCATAATACCACAAATGACATACCGTAATTGCATCGACATTTCAAACACCAAAAGGTGAAAGTACAATTGGAAATTCCCATTATGGTTCTTTGATTATTTGAGCTGAATGAAGCTATGGAAAATATGAAGGTCCAAAATTCAGTGTTTTGTATACTTATCACAGAGCAAAAGGCTAAATGGCTGTTATTGCAATATCTGCTAATGACCACACAGATTTGCTTTAATCATCTGAAAACTTAAGAGTTTAAATATTCTATACCAAATACTCTGTGACCCTATGAATATTGCTGGACTACAGTTAGCTTTGTTATTGCCCATTTACTTTATTGGTTGAGGCTGATGGGAATTATGATCCTAAAAATTATAGAGGGACACATGTTGCCTGTCTTATCTACATTACTGTTAAAAGAAAAACAGAGAATATAGGATTACTACAGTCTTTGTCTTTAAACATTTACTTAGAAGTAAGACCAGCTGATTTCAGTGGAACTTATGCTAAGTAAGTGTACATAGGATTGGGATCTAATGCTGAACACTGCTTGAACAATAGAATTTAATGTCCCCGTAAACACAGAGAATTTAGCTCCAAACTACCTGATAACAGTCTCTCTCCAATTGTCTCTTTCCTCCAGTAACATGTTAATAAATTGTATTGAATATAGCAACCTCTATCCCTGAAGCACATTAATATTTTGGTATTGCAATTTTCAGTTACTATTTCTGTCAAGAAACAGCATTATGAGGGGAAAGTAGTATCTTAACTGCTTTTTCAGATATTTGCTAACCTCACAGCGCATTCGGGCCATAGATGGCATATATTTTGCTTGTTTAGTGCATAATGTAAACTTTAAAGAAGCATTTTGCCAACTGTCCTGCTTTGCTTGTGTTTCAAAAGATCCTTGCATGTGGATTGATGGATAAGAGATCAAATTCATGGAATCAATTGTAATTTTCTTTTCTTCTAATTGGAACAGGAATTTCCTTTTTTTACTTTGACGGCCTTTCCTCCAGGCTTCCTTCTCCACGTAGGTGGTGTTGTCAGCGCCCGTTCAGTGAAGCTCTTGGATCGTATTCATAATCCTGGTATGTTACAAGAATAAATCTTAACATCTCTTTGATATGACCATGGCTGTCTACATATTTATTATTTATTAAAGGAAAAACCTTGTAAAATGTTGATGGTTATATAAACACAGCTTTTACCTCCCTCCCACCATGGCTTCCTTGTAATGTTTTCAGTATTACTGAGCTATTTAGTTCCATTGAAAAAGTACCAGAATCTTTGAAAACCATACAAAGCTGTTTGTTTCAGTTTTTTTAAAATCAATGATTCTCCTTCTCCCCACTTTTAAAGATTATTTCTGGACTTAAAAAGATCTGAAAAGCATGTCTTAATTCATTTGATTTCAAATGGAGTAAAATTTTCGAAAGTGGTAAAAGATTTTTCTAATATATTCCCTGAATGTGGACAGAGGAACATTTTGGAAGTGGGAAATTCCTCTCATAAGTCACAGATAGGTGAGATGCTGGAAAATATTTATTTATTTATTTACTTTATTTATATACCGCTTTTCTCAGCCCTCAGGCAACTCAAAGTGGTGAACAACATCGATACAAAACATCACGAGACAAGTATAGGGCAATTAAAAACAATTGTAACATAAATAATTAAACATCAGAATAACAATCATTAGCGCCTCAACAGTTAGACTTTATGTGTCTCCCCTCCCACCCCCCATCACAAACATTTTTCAGTCTAATTTCTTTCTCTCTCTGCCTTTAATTAATCTCAGACATAGTGTAATTATGGCCCGAATATGACCTGGGCTAAATTCAGAGACAGAAAAAACAGGTATTAGAGATGTTCAAGGCAGGAGTCCATTAAACTGCTTGTTTAGGAAAATATTCTACTTTTGTTGATGGCTTTCATGGCCAGAATCACTGGGTTGTCGTGTGTTTTCCGGGCTGTATGGCCATGTTCCAGAAGCATTCTCTCCTAATAGATGCAGATGAAACATCTTTTTAGAAGAGAATGCTTCTGGAACATGGCCATACAGCCCGGAAAACACACAACAACCCAGTATTCCACTTTTCTTTAGGATAAAATAAAAATGTGATTCTTTTGGTAGTGGTTTGAATTGCCTTCTCCATCCAGACATTAAATCTGATCATAATAGCAATAGCCATATCAGAAAATTTAATTTATTTAGACTATTAACACCAGGAATCCCAATAATCTGCAGTCTTATTCAAGGTACCTGGGGCTGCTGAATGCATAGGTCTCAAAGGAGGTGGATGGAGCACCGGTGGCACAATGGGTTAAACCCTTGTGCCGGCAGGACTGCTGACTGAAAGGTTGGCAATTCGAATCTGGGGAGTGGGGTGAGCTCCCACCTGTCAGTTCCAGCTTCTCATACAGGACATGAGAGAAGTCTCCCATAGGATGATAAAACATTTGGGCGTCCCCTGGGCAATGTCCTTGCAGATCGCCAATTCTCTCACACCAGAAGTGACTTGCAGTTTCTCAAGTCGCTCCTGACACGGAAAAAACATGAGGTGGATGCCTTTCTTCCATTAGCTTCTCAGTAGTGTGACACTTCTTACATCCCACTCTCCAGAGAGAATCAATTATTTTCCCCAGTTCTTCCCAATCGCTCGCCTTTCATCATTTTCTGTTAAATAAGCTTGTTTTGGGCTGAATGAATATCTCTGTCAGAGATACAAAAATCTAGCATGTTGACTGGGCTGTGCACCTACTTTAAGGACATCCCTAAGTATCTAGTAATCCCACATGTGGATGTTTCTCTGGGATGATTACTCAGCCAGTATCACTTCTGTTAATCCATCTCTTAATGATTTTAAGAAGCTGCCTTTGGCATCAGCCCTTGTAGCAAATGCAATGCTGGATATCATTTATTTAGATTTTCTGCACTATCCATGCCAGGCAATCTGGTTGCTAGTCATAGTCTTGTGAATCCTCCTGTTGTAAGGGGCAAGGTGAAATTTCAAGCCACTCATTCCAGTTTGGGTTGGATTTCAATGCACACGGAGAGATATTTTCTTCTTCTATGTCGCTAACCATTTACTTTTCCAAGCTGCGGATTGAGAGCCCCTTAGAGCAATTTTTACAGTCCATTTTCCAAGGGAAAAAATTCCCACTTCCAAAATGTCCCTTTATTCCTGGGAGAATGAATATGTGCTTAGTAAACAAATATGTTGTTTTTCCTTTGTCCACAAAGAATATTCCTTTGTCCAATCTGAGTAATACTTCGTATGGCTCATTCCCAGTTCACATACAAAAGGCTACTGGCAAGAGGGCAGTTCCTCTGCATTCAGCTTGTGTTTGTGGTTCTCTCCCTCACCTATAGTTTGTAACCTTGATGCCCAGTATTGCACTTATAGAGGCTTACAATTGCTCTCCCTTCTCCTCCCCTTGTCCCAATATGTAATTGACTCAATTGAAACATTTTCAGGTACAATTTCCTGGAGTGTCTTATGTTTTATTGAAGGATGTTCAGAAACAGCTATGAAACTGATGAGAGATGCTGATTTGTTCATTAAACAAAATGTTCATTATACAAAAATATCTCTTATGTCTTTTGTCTCTCACATAGTCAGAGCAATACATTAGTTCTGTGAATGTCTTACCTTCCATCTTCCTTTAAAAAGGAACATGCTATGACATTTTTGCCCAAATAATTATTGTAAAATGTTGCACCATGAGGAGGACATGCCTTAATTTCCAGTTGAATAAGTAGGAACACACAGTAGATGACCTCAGAAGCATGATATAAGTAATTGTTTTGATCTTTTTGTTGATTTGATCAATATAGGTAGATTGATAGAGCATGCTCCTTCTGTCCTTCCTTTTCTATTTTCAGTCTCCTATTAACTTTACTATCTGTGTCTTTCCAGTTCCTGTGGAATGGTATTATCAGTTGTGTTCTTGTTGGTAGCCTGTTTTTCTTTCTTTCTTTCTTCTTTCACTGTTCTGCTGCTGTAACTGATCTACTAATTTGCTGTTTTGAACTCAGCCTGTGTCGGAATTATGGGTAACACAAGATCATACAAACTGCTAGACTGGAATAGTTTCAATTCAGGTATTTTATTAGTCATTCAGTACTACATATGCTGACAGAAATTATGGCAGCTCAGTGAAGTCTTTTTAGAAGTCCTCTGGCTCGTTACCTAGTAAATATCTCAAATTCAATTCTTTTAAATCTGTAAAATGTAAATGATTTTTATTTTCATAAAATTATGTCCTGCATTAAAATTAAATTGTAAGCAATTTCCCAGAAAGGCTCCAATCCCTGTACACTCAGGTAGCCTAATGAGGTCCTGTTCTGGTTTTGTTCTCTATATAGCACATCTTTTCTTCTACTAGAAGTAGGTTTCTTTTCTGTGCAGCTACTTAGTCTTGAATGAAATACTCTTCATCGAGAGATTGGCTCAGTTGTACATGGGTTGCTATGAGTTTTCCGGGCTGTATGGCCATGTTCCAGAAGCATTCTTTCCTGATGTTTTGCTTGTATCTATGCCAGGCATCCTTAGAGGACAGCCTCTAAGGATGCCTGCCGTAGATGCGGGTGAAACGTCAGGAGGGAATGCTTCTGGAACATGGCCATACAGCCCAGAAAACTCACAGCAACCCAGTGATTCCAGCCATGAAAGCCTTCGACAACTCAGTTGTATGTATTTTAATTTTTTAAAAATGGAGCAACTATAATTTTATTACTAGTGGGCTTTTGGGACATGTGGGAAGGTGTGGTTGTGGTTAGATATTCTTAATGCTGTTTCAGGAATTTTGATACAATAGCCCTTTTACATTTGTTTCGTTCTAATATTAATAAATGCTAATATAACATATTCTGTAAATTTTAGGAACAAATACATTTTCATTAATCCTTCATATTTATCCCATATGAGCTATATCAATCGTTTATAAACTGGTTTAAAATCTCAATAATCCCCACAGGGATGAGTAGAATGGAACTGGGGTGGGTTGGTTGAGTTTTTGAAAGCGAACTTAGAGTTTGCTTAAAAGTGTAATTTAGATGATAGATAGCCCAAGGTCTCATGGACCTTGGCAGCATTACAGAAATAACTTGGTGTAAACATTAACGGTCCTTGAACATTTTTTTCCTAATCTGATGGAAACTGCAGAGTTTTCTTCATTGCAGTTATATCTTTCTCTTCTGTCTCTTATTATTCTGTCTGCATTCTTCTATAATCGGCATCATTTTGAGAAACACTTCCATTTACAGCTTATTTTGTCCCTTTTATATGTTAATTTAAAAAAAAAAATTTTTTTGCATATTTTGCAGTTAAAGATTGTTTGACATCTTTGCATCATACCATTACAGTTAGCCTCTCTGTGAATTAAGTAGCTGTAGAAAATCTGCATTACAGTGGATTGGACAGCACAATCCTTGTGGTCTCTTCCAACTCCATGATTCTAGTTATGACATTATTCAGTATTAGCAGTATGGGAATATGCTCAGATGACCAATATTTTGTATTCGTTTAAGGTTTATTTAATCCAGAGGAACTCCCTTTAGCATTAAATAGTAGCTCTTGGGTCTGGAAGTGCTGTTTATAACTTCTATCACTTGGGATTGTGTTACTACTTGTAACTACTTTGGGAAAATAGATATTTTGACCTGTGAGAAAGTGAATAGGAGTTAGATTAGGAGCTTGGTTTGAATGTTGAGTGGGATCTTACAGTGTAAACTGTAAAGGGTTATGTTAAGTAGAGCTTAGTCTTTGGGAGATACATGTTCTGTCCCCTTGATTTGAAATGTTTGAGACCAGAGATTAATCAGATTTTGGATTTTTTTTTACTGTTGGTTTTTGGAATACCTGTATTTGCATATACATAGTGAATGAGGGAAAGGGGGCTAGTTACACACCCATTCTCCATTGAATTTTTCTCAGGGAGCTATTGCTCCTGCGCATTCTGAAATTAGACAGGGAAGGGAATGGCGGGGAAAGGGGAGGACTGAGATCTGTTGCTGGACTTAATAAAATACCCCGTTAAAAACAGATGTCAGGAGAAGAAAAAGGTTACAGTGAACTCAGGGAATGTTGCAAAACTCTGGCTACTCTGCACATCCATGCGGCATTTGTGCCCTTTTCCAGCTGGATGGAAGGAAAGCAGGGTGTGGCTTGGCCATCATCCAGAGATTTGCAACATTTGCTGAGCCTGCAGGAGGCAAGTACATTTGAACTTTTTCCTTTGCTGATGCCTGCTTTTTACAGGGGATTTGTATAATTCCAGCAGCAGAACCCAGAATCCCCCCTGGTTAATCGTACCCTGTCAAATCTCAGATTGCGATGGAACGACAGTTCTCTCAGAAAAACTCAGTAGGGGCTGGATGTATAACTAACCTCCTTTCTGCAACTGGAAGTATTTGGGGGGGGGGGGGGGGCTGGGAAAAGTTCAGGGTTTTTTGCTTTTCAGGGCCCAAAATACACAGAAACTAGATTAGTGTAGATTATTAGGCTAGAGCTCTAATACAGATTATGTTTTCTAATATAGATTGCTTCTTCTTTTTCTTGTCCTACTGCAGATGTGGCCAGTCAGTCAGTCTTGTTTTTAACATATTTTCAGCTAAATTCCTAAACCCCTATCAGCCTCTTTTTGGCACATCATTGTGGGTTATCAAGTATTGCCACAAAGCACAATCTACTATAAGTAAGACACATATGATGTTGCCCTTGACATAAAAAGGAAAACTATGTTTGAATAATTGAGCTATCCAGGCTGAGCCTAGAATTGTCAAAATTGGGCAGTAAAATTTAGACTGTTTGTGGAGTTACTGTGTTGTGGATATCACTCTGTTCAAAGAAACTGTTTCTTTGATTAGATTCAGGTAAAGATGGGGAAACCTTCAATTGTCTACTCTCTTTTTTATTTGCAGAATAACAAACAAACCCAAAAACAAATTACCTTATTCTCTTTATTACTTTTCCAAGAAGAAATAATGTTTAAACCCAGTTTCAGATAGCGACCTCCACTTATTTGGAAGGGAGCTATCCGGATGTTCTGCTATTAGAATCAACTTCTGTATTTGGCTACGATCAACTTGAGAACTCAATACATGTTGAGTTCTCCTTCCTATGCTGAAATAAGGAAAATTGTTTTGTGAATCAACACATCTTCTCAGCAAACTGTAGTAGAAATTCTTGTGTTCTGACAATACCTTATTAATCCTAAGTTAGCCCTGCTTGCTATGGTTGCAAGGAACTTGTGCACCTGTTTTGTGTTTTATAATTTTGTACCTTGAACTTGTTTCACTTTTTCCTGTGATTGTATCCTGTTTGTGTGTTGCTTTCAAATCACCTGTTGACATATGGTGACCCCATGACTTTCATAGATTTTCTTAGACAAGGAATCCTCAGATGCAATTTTGCCAATTTCTTCCTCAATGGCAAGATATTACAATTTCAAATCTAAAAAATAACCCTGCAAATGGAGAATATCTCATGGACCTCATGCTATCTTGAGAATAACTGAGGCTAGGGGCTATTTGTGCACTGACAGAGGCATCTAGTGGTAATCATTTGAAACTCTATACACCACCTTTTCAAGTGGTAAGGGTTGTTCATTGATGGTTTGTAGTTACAGAGATAACGTGATTTCACATTGGGTCTTTCTTTTGGAAACACCTTGTATATATAAATAGGATTTTTAAAAACTGTGTTACACTTTAAGCTGTAATTTGGAATAGTATCAAACTAGTAAGCCTATAGTATCAAACTAGTAAGCCAAACTAGTAAGATTTAAACTGTATGCCAGAACAGATCGTGTTTTGTAAGACTTTGAGACTAGAGTGCTATTTAACAGCATTACGTGTAATAGACAAATAAGAAAAACCCACAAGATAGGCATTGCTTTTTGCTAGTGCACATACTTTAAAGCCAAAGTATTAGAATAACTACTGTTGGCCTTATATTCAAAATTAGCTGGTATCTTTCTATCCTAGCGAGGAATACCAACCTGTAAAAATAATAATATATATTTTTTTAAAAAACAAGTGTATAATTACATCACACTTTGTTTACACATTACATCTGGGAATAGTTATTGTAGATAAATATACACTGTATTGATTTTTTTAAAAATGAATTGTTGTAACAATTCTTGATAACATCCTGCTAGACAAAGCTAAGATATCTGGTGATATTGGCTCACAGTAAATCAATATGTTTGAGTGCTGAATTAGCTAAATATACCTCTTTATTTTGATATTGTTTGCAAAGGTAGATTTTGTTTTAAGATTGCTTACAGTAGCTTGCCTATTCCAGCTAATACTGGTAGCAGCAAGCAGTAATATCTGATATAATGTAGTTGAACGTGCTTCTTGCAGTATACTTGACTGTAAGTGGGACTAATAACTCCATAACAGAGCAATTCATACTCGGTTCTCATCCAGATGAACACTTGCTTAGCCTGGTTTATCCTTCATCTTTTAACTTGGAACAATAGAGCTGATAAGTATCAGTCCTCAGCCACCTTTTCATTATGTCCTTTTGTATTATATACAGCACAAATTAGAAATGAGAAATTCCTGTTGAGGATCATATCATATCAAGGACAAATAAAGGTTCTTACAGTATGCATGATGAATTTGTAGAACTTTTTGAAATTGTTTATCGTCCCACACTTGTCTAATTCAACCATAATAGCTCACAAAATAGGAAACATTGCTCAAGGATTAACGTGTGTTGTAGATGTTCACTTTGTAGTCACCTCAATAAAAATGAATTTGACCCATTCTTATCTATTACAGACAGAGATATAGGGTTGAAAATGTTTAGATGGTATTTTTTCCACAGTGTGTGTGTGTTGAGCTAACTGTGTGATATGAAGTTCTGCTTATTCTTCTTACATACACTAGTGCAGACATCCTCAACTGTGGCTCTCCAGCTGTTTAGACCTCCAATTCCAGGAATTCCTAACCATTGAACAAGTTGGCAAGGACTTCTTGGAGTTGGAGGTCCAAACCGCTGAAGGGCCACAGTTTGAGGATGCCTGCATTAGTGCTTGGAAGAAAAGACTAGCAAGCACAACCCAGGGACATGAGATGTCAAGTCTGTT